TAACAACATTTAAAAACTGCCTGTGTGGGAGGAGAAAACAGAAGCTGGCTGGTTTGATTTTTGTAATAATTAGAAGACACTTGGCTGAGTTCAGAGCTAATTCCCAGCACATGGTTGTGTGCTTAACTGATTATCATGGCAGAGTCAAAGTCTCGTGCTAGCCCCGTCTCGCACACTGGATTGGGTAACCATGTTCAAGTCGGATGCGCTCATTTCTTTCACTGTGCATGTCCCCCCAGGGATACATATTGCAACTGCACGAGAGCATGTCGTCGGTCCCTTGCCTGCTAGCTCCCCCCCAGAACGCAATGGTGACCAGTGTGACCGCAGCTCATCCTTTTGTTTGCATCTGAAGTTGTCCTCTCGCCTGTCTCACTCCTCCCACACCCCAAGTCCTTACTTCTACATACACCCTGGGGAAAGTTCTGTATTCCTGCCCCACTGCAGGAACTGCCACCTCTCTTTGAGGAACCAGATGTGACCACAATGGCCTTATCTGGCTGCCCTAGTGCTTCTTATGGGAAAGTGCTGGGTACTCTGGGTAGCTGCCAGCTGCCTTCATGGGCTGCAAAGCCAGTTTCACAAGGTTAACTGATGTCTCCACTGAGGAGAAGACAGGTTAGCAGCGACCTCTGTGGCCTGGCTCTGACCCTGGATTCTTTGCTTCACAAGCAGTCCCAAGCCTTGCAGGCAAGTATGGTCTGTCTGGTCTGAACAAGGCTACACCTCCACACTTGTTCGAGACTCGGAAGATCTTGTAAATGCCAAAGTAACATTCTGTGCAAAACACATTTTTGCTTTGAAATCCTTTACGCATGTTTGTTCCCGTGTGTGTCTGGCATGAGACCGGTCCCAAGGAGCAGCTGTAGGGCATTCAGAGGAGTCTCTTACACAAGCTTTTGGGACTACGTCCTCCTCAGGTGGAGTAGCAATTGCATGCAGCTTAACCCAAAAGTTCCCGATTCAAAAGCTGCTGATTCCCATTTCACATAGGGAAACAAATCTAAGCACATCACGCGTGTGTCAAGGCGAGTTTGATCAGACTGGGTCTCGGCCATCTGTCAGTAGGTCGTGAGAGCTACTCACAGCATTCAAGTTTGTCTTACTGTTATACCTGACTGATGAATGAAAGCTGGGAAGAGGGCTAGCGAGACCTGCACGGATTCCTGCAGTGACTGATAACAGATCTGCCGAGACTTGGTGGACTCTCCAGAGATGCTCTCCACAACGTCTTCTAAGACACTAAGCGTCTGGTGGATGATCACTTTGGCTGCAAATCAAGATGGAGAAAGCATTAGGAGAGATTTGCCAGGGACAATAAGGAAACTAACCAAGTGAGGGAAATCACTAGCTACAATGGCCAAAAGCTAGAAGTCTTTCTGCAACAAGTTGACTATAAACCAGCTCAAGCTCCCAACAGAAGAAGTGTGCCTAGTTTTAGGCCTACTGATGACAACTCACATCCTGAGTGCTAGCCCAGTGTTCAAGTACCTTGCTTATCCAAATGGTCACTGCTTCTATAAAGGGGCAGAGGCCCTGGTCATAAAAAGGTTGGATTAGTGGCCTTGTTTAAATACCCTGCTAGTTACAGTAAAACCAGACAAGAAAACACGGAATAAGCTCACTTGAACAATGTGACGCATTGGATCAATTTACGACTCATGACAATGACAGCAGCAGAGAAGATACTGCAGGCAAGCACTGTGTAAATACCTTTGGGACAGAGGAAACACTGGACCAATTCAAGCTGCAAAACAGTTTTCTGAGGAGTATCTACTGTCCTTTTGGGATTCAGACAGCCCAGCCCCCCCCCACACGTCTCCTACATGAAGCAGACCACTGCTCTCCAGAATGTGCCATGTTTGTATGCTTTGTGTCTAGTGTCAAGATCACCTCCTCTGACGTGGGTTTGCCCACCAAAGCTCATGCTATGATCTATATATTCGTTAGCCTCGAAGGTGGCCCAGGACTACTCGTTTTTAAAAGGTGTAGCTGTAAGCGATAATGCAGGTTCCAAACAGTATTTAGTTGAATGATCCCAACTAAACTAAAATGAAAGCCCCACAACACGCATTGGAACATGGAATTTTGACTCTCCTTCCTCAACAATGCTCTTATGACTAAGTCTTGACGAGAGCCGTACTATCCCCCCACCCCTCACAATTCTCACAGCTGGACTCTTTGGAAATGGAACCTGCAACCTGGATTTCCAGCATAACAGCCGAATGGTAGCCCCCCCCCCAACTAGTGCATCAGCCAGCTCGAGTCTTTTATAATGCAATCTCTGCTGCCTAGGCTAAAAGCGACACTTGACCCTGCTCTCAGGGCAATGAGAGCTCGCTGGCGCACAAGTGCCCTGTAAAGCACTCCCTGCAAGCTGGGAAACACTAAGAGTCATGGGATCCAACTGCTCACGCTCTGCCTCCCGAGCCCAGGCATTCCAGCTAGTGCAGTGATTGGCGGAAGTCTGCGTACTCACTCCCTACCAGCAGCTTTCCCGGCAGGTGGGTCCTAGTAGGACACAGAGCACTTACTGTCCTCCAGCTGCACTTTCCTGGGCGGCAGGACGGCGCTGGTTTTCAGGTGGCGGTACTCCCTTGTGAGGGCCGAGATCATACTGGCATGGTTGGTGGAGCGGACTGCCCACTGTTGTTCGCTCTCGGGGAGGTTTGGCCATGGCAGCAACAGGACATTGGAAAGCGCCCTGCACACCAGTACCTGGGCCTGGAACCAACAAAACATTGAGCCTTGACAACACGGCTTTAAGGAAGCTGCTACTACCTCATGGAAGGGGGAGGCCTCACATCTTATGCAGAAATGCAGGTCCAGTGCAAATCCTGAACAAAGCCAGCTCTTACAGCTCTACAAACGGGAAGGGGAGTCTTGTGATTAAGATGCTAGATCCAGACTCTGATCTGGGGTCAGTCCCCAGACTTTCTGGGAAACTGTAAGCAATTCATCTCAATCTTTGCGCTTCAGTTCTGCATGTGAGTAACAAGGCCCCTGTCTATGCTGCACAGCAGCCTCAACGATGGGTATGTTAATTGCAAAGCCCACTGAAGTGCTGTGATCTAACGGCCCTGCAGGGACACTGCTGGCGCGAACTAGGGGTATTTCTGTACTGCATTAAAATACCTGCAGCACTGAGTCTGGGTTAGCGGGCTGCTACTGCAGGGCTGATGTTTGGGCTCAGGCTGGAACCCAGGTGTGAGATCCTCCTCCCCTTTGCTATGTTATAGCGCCACAGCCAGTCATCTGGCCCAGGCCAGCCATGGCTGCGCCACAGGTGTTTTACCGCAGTGTGATGTACCCTGAAAGGTATCCAGCCCCGTTTGAAAGAGGACGTACATTAATGCAACTCAGCATCGTTGAGTTTGTGCTAGCAGCGTTCACACTCTGCAGTTAGATCTGCAATTGGCCCCTCTACAGCCCACAGCGTCATGTGTACAAGTCCCAGGACAATGCTTCCTTGCTCCCACCTACTGTCTGACTTGTTATGTGTATTGTAAGTTTTTAGGACACATGCGTGCTAGGTTTGTACAGTCCCCACAGAAGGAGACCCTGCTTTCTGCCAAGGCCTTGAAATACCCCTTAATACAAATCATTCTTTGCACTGGGAATGCAGACTGAGGATTATTCCTCCCCATGAGTCCCAGCCAGCCTTAGAATGCAGAGGTCCAGCTATCAAGTACAGATACTTCAGCGCTCTTGCCACTATAAAACAAGCCAGGACATCAGGTACAAGTTCCAGGAAGCTAAGATGTTGGGTAATGAGATTTGTGAGTTCGAGGTGTAAGTTTTTCCTCGTTTTTAGTACTTCAACTCTGAAAATTAAAAGCTATGGACCTATCAGGACATATGGATCACTGCACCCAAAGTTTATAGAAGCCAGGAGTAACTTCTCTTGCCCTGAGACGGATGTACCATGCTGGTAAAAGCTGTGGCATTGTTTCCGCGGGACATCCAATTAAACGGACAGTCTGCATTTGTGTTAAGAGTCAAGCATCACCTTGTCAGGAAGCCGCTGAGCAGAGGTGTCTGTGATTCTGTTGAAAATTTTCTGTACTGCTGGGATACTAATTAGGAACACTGGCCGCACAGTGGTTGCTAACGAGACCAGCAAGTGGCAGGCAGACAGCAGCAGCTTCTCTTGCACCTGAAAAAGAGCAGGAGCTGTTAAGCTCGGCAGTTACGCATTCCTACAGTCTCAAGGAGAGGCTGGACTTTCTGCCACACAGCACGGGCATGCAACAGCGCTCCGAGCCTGTTCTGAAAGACAGGCATTACACGAACACGTGCACAATGCAGCCTTCAAGCACACGTCAGAATCCAGTGGCCTTTAATCAGAACAAAGGTCAGCACCTTCCCACCAGGAGTGAAGACTCTTCAACTCCCAGGCTAAAGGAGCCACAGTAGAATTCGATATTTATTAATCTGTCTTTAGGAGGCTGCTCCCCCAGCGACTGGCTGGGATTTATTTCCATGATGCTATTTAAGGCAGCTTTTTGTCTGGAGGACACTGCCTTCGCACCATGTTTCTGGAAAGCAGATGCAGAGAGACAGGAGTAGCATCTGCAGGCAAGGCTGGCTGTTAGTTTCAGGGTTTAGCCCCTTGTATCTCAGAGCAGTATTTATTTGCCTTGTTTGATGAAGGTACCTTGGAGCTGATGAGTGGAGTAATAGCATCGAGGGCGGTGGAGATTAGAGAGACGAACTGCTCCGGGTTCTGCCGGTGGACTTCGCTGTAGAACTGGGCTAGCCAGTGAGAGTAAGCCTGCAGTGCTGCCAGCGACTGAGCATGGCTGGAAAGAGGAAGAGACAGTTTAACACACACGTACTAAAGGACATTCCAGAGGACACAACAGGATGACAAAAGTCTAGAATATAGTAAGCCCCTCTGATGACTTATTACCCAGAGCTCCCCAGAGTTAAGGGGACATTACAAGATGTCAAACTCTCCAGGTCTGAAGTTTAACAAGTTTCTTAGAATTTGTCTGGAAAGTTTAAGGCAACTGGTCGAGAGAGAGAAACAGAAGGGCTGTGCATCTAGACCATCTCTCTAATTTTCTTTGATGTTAACAGCTGGCCATGCTTGAGCCCATCTGATTGAAACCAGTCTCCTCACCACACTTCAGTCGCTGCTGAGGCCTCAGACCTGTCTAGCTTGTAAAGGGGTTTTATAGGCATGCACGGGGAAGGAATGAAAAGCCATTTATGGTGACATGGGGAATTTTGTAGAGTTCCTAACTCCACCTGGCTCTAATGATAGCTGGCAGAACCTGGCTGGAGGGAAGCCACAGTAGGCAGCCAAGATGAGAGACTAGAGTCTGTCCGTGTGAAGAGTGGGGACCCCTCTTGCAGTCTAGAGACCAGTCCCTAAACCAATTCATTTCATTTTACCCTTCCCATCTGTTATCTATCAGCTCTGTGTTTTTGAGGAACCCGCATACACGATCTAACTGGCTGAGTCATACAAGACCTCCCCTCCCAGCCTCTGCTTGAACCAAAGCCGATCACAAGAAAGACTTAAAAAGGCAATGAAAAGGTGGGGGAAGGCACCCCTAGTCCCCTCCATCAAAGGGGACAGGGTTAAGGAAACTCCCCTACCATCAGCTGCATTGAACTGCACTGAACACTGGAACTTCCTCCCCATCTCCCCCCATGGATGTTTCTGGCTTCCCCGTTGGCTTTGCAGCAATGCTTCTTGGACCTAAGCTAAAGATTCCTGCAGCTCCCCAAAACCCTGCGGGGTTTGCTCCTCCACGGGGTTTCTAACAGAACGAATGTAATACAACAGTGGGGAGAGGAACTTGGCGAACCCAGGTGCAGAGGAGGGTGGCAGTTTGAAGTGCGGTTCAACCCAGCCCACCAATTCTACGGACGTAAGGGGTCAGCTTGGGGGTGTCGATTAATCCAGTCTTCTCGGACATGCTCTGTTCATGCGTGTGTACATGTTCATCTGATTTCAGGCTGGGAAGAACCCCGCCCTTGAGAACGCAGAGCCATCGGGAGGGAATGGACAAATCTGGTAACACATCCCCATGTGACTGTTCGCTGGACTGGTAGAAAAGGGATCCTGCCGTTGAGCAGTTTGGGGGTGGCCCCACATGGCTTGGAGCCACAGGGCTCGTCACTGAACAATTCTGTACATAGTTCAGACACCTATGCAAAGTCTCAGCCTGGGAACTTGAAGGTAAATTTAAGACACAACCCTGAATGTCGCACATACAGAAAACCCACACAAAACAAAAACCTATTACAGAGCCTGAAATTTCAACGCCGAGGCGGCATGTCCGCCATTTGAAAGTTTGAAAACATGGCTGAGCCGCAAGGTGCAGATATCACCACATCAAAGACTCCAAACACTGACCAGGCACCTCTCTGGTCTATCAGGCAGCACAGCAAGTCAGGCCTGCACACTGCCATTTCTTCCAAACAGAGGGGAGTCCTTAGAGAACTACAGCAGTCAGAGTGGGCCAGCCATAGGACAGGCCCTGGGCGGCCCTGCCCCAATCGTCCCACGGAAGGGGTGGTCTTCCACACTGCAATTAGCTCACAGGGCTCAGAGTGGTCTGGAGGATTTCCTGGTGCAGAGCAGCAAAGCACCCGGCTCGCTCCATTCGGCTCCGCTGAGTGATGTGGGCTCGGGGGAGCAGAGAGCAACAGGCCGGGTGCTCCGCGTTCTGTCACCATGGTGAAGTGCCTGCATCACTTCACTTCCTGTGGGGGATCCCAGCCTCTGTGCCACCCTGCACTAGGCTCCTGTGGTCATCTCCTGGGTCGGGGTTTTCCAGGAAAGGGTGCAATGGGGACAGAAGGGGCGGGGTGGGGCTAGGGGCGAAGAAGGGTGGTTGTTCTGAACCCTGCACCTGTGGCGAAGGGGGGATTACCCCAGGCCCTCACCCCCTCAGGGACAGCCCCGAGAGTAAGCTTTTCTTCTGAGCCATGTGCAGTCAAGCCTCTGCACCTCTCTGCCCAAGACCCCAGGTTAGAGTCCGTTCCCCAGGAGTATGCAAGATGTCAGCCCTTGTTTGTGAAGCTAGGAGCACTGAGGGTTGGACCAAAAACTGAAGTGCTTGCACACCAAGGACATGTGGTGGAGGGCTTCACACAGGCACATCAGATACTTTATGCCTTAACCTCCAGCTCCACACTCCAGCATGCTCCCTACATGGCTGGCACACTGTGCAAATAAAACACACGGCGCACACCTGTAAGTGGTCTGCCGCTTGTGACAGCAAATGGAAGGGCTTTCTGAAAGCCTCCATCCCACACAGCTGACTTTCAATATCCTTTTTAGGTTTAACTTAATTTTCGATTTCAAAGCAAATGTTTGTTCCTTGTTGTTTTAAACTGCTCCCTTTCCGCAGTGTTTGCAGTTTAGCTCCAGACAACTGTTGCCAGGGATTCACACACGAATTGGGAATTTAACCAACAGTAATTAAATGCAGTCACTTCACACTGTTGCCTTTGTCCGGTACTTGCACCCTCCAGGTGGGTTGCGATATGTGGTATAACTGGACTCCTGTGCTATTGCTCCATCGTGCATAAGTCAGGAGGACAGGAAAGTTAGCAAGAGATCAAATTAAAATCAATCGCTGGGTTGGTGTTGCAAGCGCTCTGTGTTTCGGCTCACTGCCATATCAAAAGCTACAGAGCAGCATGATGGTTACTGATAGTGCTGAGGGGAAGGTAGAGGTGAAAGTTACACAACTTCAGTCACAGAATGAAGCAGAACATGTCAGACTAGGGCCATACACGTTTCTGCTTTGACTGACAGGATTTGATTTATTGATCGCAAGTGGATGAAAGCAGGCCAACAAATCCAGCAGAACTCCAGTCTGTCGGGGTGTTTTGAGAAAGGGGTAACAGAGCTATTTTACATGAAAAAGTTAAACTGAGTTTGAAGTTAATGTAAGCAACAGTCAGTCTGGATTAATAGCAAAGGGCCTCAGGGGACCGAGTGATAAAACCAACTACTAGCATGGAATCTCAGAAGCTTGATCCATATGCAGTCACCAATCCAAACAAACTCTTCAAAGGGACAGGTTTAAACCCTGCTCACAAGGTCAGCGGGCAGAGAAAGGCATGTGCAACAGAGCATAATGGAGACAAAGGCCATTAAGGGGTATTCTACTTTAAATGTAGAGTCTCAATGCCATGCTCGTGTTTTAACTTGTGGGTCAAGTTTCCTCATGTTATAAATTGAAAGAAAGGGGCATTATAGCTTACAAAGGCACAGCCACTCTGGAATCTGAGTGTTAAGCTGTGTTCTGGCTCCTGCATCAAAACAGTAATAAAGACTGACGATTCTATTCCCAGCCTTAGGCCAAGCCTACGCTGGCGCTTGAAAAAAATCCTCCCGAGCACAGCGAGTTACAGGGCTGTAAAGCGCCAGTGTGAACCGAGCTCCAGCGCTGGGCGTTAGCTACTCCCCTCGCAGAGTTTACAGTAGAATTTGTGTTGCAGTAAAAGACTCATACTCACACGTCGATAAGATCAGGTTTCAGTACAGATGGCACAGCTGTTTCAATGTTGTACAGTTTGATCTGCGACCCGTACAGCGTTACCTTAGCCAGCCTGCCAGTGAAGAAGCAAAGCAAGCAGTTTGCTGAGGAATTGTAAAATACGGATGTGCAGGTATATCAAGAACTACTGGAATATACTTTATCACAACATGGCACTCCGTGAGACTGCACACTGATTAAACGCACGCACGCACACAAAAGCACAACAGGGGCATTCAGACCTAGTCTGCTTGTGATAAAAGGGAATAGGGACAGTATTTCTGAATGCAGCACAGGACGGTGTAGGAGCTGTGATTAAACATATGTTTATTTGGGAGTCCAGGAGGAGCGACAGGCGGGAATCTGATCTGCCGCTCTTACATGTACTTTATCAAAGATACAGAGGGGGTAGCCATGTTAGTCTGTAACTTTAAAAACAACAAGTAATCCTGTGGCACTTTAGAAACTAACACAACTAAATAGAATCATGAGCTTTCTGAGGAAGTAGGTTTTGCCCAGGAAAGCTCATGATTCTGTATATTTGTTAGTCTCTAAGGTGCCACAGGACCATTTGTTTATCAAAGACAGACATCCAATGGAGATTGTGTTAAATGATGCAGACCTGAAGTAATCAAATTATAACCTCGGTATCAGTAGGCTAGAACAGCTGCAGTTATATCAGGAGCATGAATTCTTGATCTTCCCAGTTATTATTTGGAACTGAACATCCAGTAATCAATTATCGCTAAACTAGGTATTTCAAGAGTTACAGATGTAGCACGGGGAAGCCGCACCTTTGGCATGTGATGGACTGACATCCCAGTTATTCTGTGGCAGAAGGCAGTTTGTGTTTTTTGCCATCCATTGTGGGGAAGAGAAAGCCGTAAAAGCATGAAGCAGTTCTTCTGCAGAGGTGAAGGAATGGCAGCACTCCTGCCTGATACAGTGACCTTTTGCCTACCTCTCCACTACTGTAAGGGCATCGTTGAACCGGGCAGCAAACACATCCCCAATGAAGTACTCAGCTAAACGACCAACAGCCTGCAGCAGGGAGCTAAGGTCTCGCAGGGAACAGTGCAAGCGCCGGCAGTCATTCTCTGCAGTGATATTCAGCCTATGACCTGAAACGACATTGTAGTCCATTAGCCATAAAGCAAGACAAGATTCAAGCGTAAAGGCTCTTTTGCTTTGCTATTAATCACAGTTCAACATTCAGGCAGTTTGGAAACTCTCTCAAATATTATACAATTCGAGCCAAGGCACATGTAATCTATATCTGTAATAAGTACAGCTCTTTCAGACAAGAAACCCAATTATGTAGCTACAGGAAATGCAGAATTTAAGCTAATTACATTACAAGCACTCTCTTTAAATTAACTATCTCCTGGGTCACAGTCCAGTTCTGAGCACCACACAAATGAATAAAATAAGTTTAAATATAGGTTGTCAATGTAGAATTTTGCAGATAAATTAAAGTTCTCAGTACCCATCAGTTGTAATTATTACAAATGGCTGAAAATAAAGTTCCCCAGCCATTTGGCTTTTCCATGTGTATTTTGCCTGATTTTGGATTCAATTGTAGCTTTCTGGTTATGGATTGACACTGCAAAAATGAGAGTCCCAGCTCTAGGATACGTTTGTTAGTTTGGCTCCCTCTGCTGTCTGCCTGTACAGCAACAGAACTCAACAACTCCTAGGGCGCACCTCTAGAACACTGATGCTGACTTCAGTAACAGTTTGATAGAAAGTAGCAGCTTCGCGCTTGAATGCAACAGTTTTGCAGCAAAGTGCAAAAAGAACTGAGCAAGGTAACACCAGAGAGTGGAATTACCTGTCCCTGAAGGTACCACAAACTGCTGCAGTCCCAGGTACACTTCCAAATTATCCTGCAGCACTGGAAACTGGAAGGGGGAAAAGGGACACAGAGGGGATTTTAATGTTAAGGCACATCGATTTAATGCTTCACCATTACAATTACATTTGGGTCAGAGGGCAATTGCTTCCCATTTTCTCCTCTTCCTCCCCACACTGAATCCCATCAGAAGCATTTGGAAGACGCGTACGGTGTGGGTTCCGGAGGATCTGATGCTCTAAGCTTTTCTATTCCAGAAAACCAGAAGTTCCCTGTATTAGAGGAATTCCTGAAGCAACTGTTGCCCTTTCCACATCAACCCTAGTAGTAGTCAGTGCTGACCTGCCTGGCTGCAAGGGAAGTGCACAGGCCTAGCATTCAGGGCCCCGGGCCGCCCAGCTCCCGGCCCCACCCACCCAGCCAGGAGCTCTGTGCAGGCCCAGGGGTGAACAGAAGGTGGGGCTGCAGGTCAGGACTGAGGTGCACATGCAGGGATGGGTGTGGGAAACTTGCATGGTACCATCTCCAGCAGTTTACTCCCACTGCAGCTGTTAATGCCACGCCTAATATCCACCACACAAAGCCAAAGGGTTGAGACCAAATGTTCTCAGAACTTCCTTGGTGTAGCACAAGGCGAAGTGTTGCAGCCACTCTGCTGGAAGCTGCAGGCAGCACAGGAGTGGGCTGGATACCCTCAGACAAAGGAAGCAAGGGAAGGAACATCCCAGGTCAGAGGCTGTCTCCGCATCCAGGTAGTCAAGGCATTCAACTGCCCCAGACACAAGCCCTTGGGAAGCTGCATTACCAATGATTAGGAATGCTCGAGCTTGTCAACGGGATGTGCCGATAAGAAGGAAGATGCTGCACACAAAACACCATGTGTAGGAAACGCATTGGCTGGTTCCTCGACAAAGCATGTTACTCTAGGCGAACTGCAGGGCTATTTACATCGCCAGTGGCTAAGTCAACCCTGATGCCTTCAGTTGGAATGCAAGAGCTAGATAATCCTCCCCCGATTCCTACAGACAAGGACAGAGGTTTCTTTGGGCTTATGCTACAGCTTGAGCAGTTTAAGGCTTGGGACTTTACTGGTGCTTCTCTTCCCTGCACATGCCTAGAGACAGACTCTGCCAAAACGTGGCCATTCCCTCCCCAGTGCCAGACACCGCATGCAGAATGTCCCACAGGTTAGAGACAAGATGTACAGCGACTCCATTTATTCTGGAGTCAATTTCATTTGCTGATTTGTGGTACAAAGGGTGGCCACATGTTGCCAGAGCATTTTGCAAACTACTGTAACAAGCATAGGAGACTCATTAAAGTTTCTTGGGTTATCTAATGTCTTAGAACGAAGTGAGTAGGGCTCCCAGGAAATATACTTAATACTGAAACATATGAGCTCATATGAGGAAACACACAGTCGTGTGCCTTTTATGTAGCCACAGGGTTAGAACTTCCTTTAAAAAGTTCAACCACGGGGAATGTTAACACCACGGGGAATGTTAAAACCAGGTGTTCACCACATTGCTTGCTTTCTGTATTTCATGACAGACTTCCAGTGAAAGGAAACCCAGACCCTTTCACATTTGTTTGCTATCAGGTTCACTTGCGGACTCATGCATTAGCAGGGTGCTGTGAACACTGCAGGGGAATGTTTCTATTTATACAAACAATTTTTCATTGGAATTAAACAGAAATCGACCCATGACTTTTTAGCGTTAGTCTTGGAGAAGATTTTCACAAAGATACTTTTGCAACTTGACAAGCGTCTCTTTAGACGAAATGCCAGTACGTGCAACAGGAAGCAAGCAAGCAAGCAAGCCTCATTCTCTTCTGCAAAACACGTTTTCTGCTTTGGGGGGGAATATGTCCCATGCTCTCAGGTATGCAGAAAGTTCCACGGCATATATCACACTAGTGATCCTAGTGAAATGAGGCACTTTTCTTCCCCTTCAGAAAGAGCGCTGACCAATCCCTGCTACACTTCTGAACCCAACAGTTTCATGCATCAAGATTAGCAGCCTGAGAAACTTTCGAACTGCTCTTCTTCCACCCAGCTACAAGAAAAGTCTCTTTCATGGCCTTGTCACCTCAACAAAGGTCAAAGTAGTGACATTTTCACAGACGATGTCTCGGTGATTCTTATTTCTGCCTCCCTACAGTTTGCGAAGCTCAGTCCTCTACATACTACTGGGTATTTTAAGTTAACATTCCACCCTTCTGGGAACATCATCTGCTAGGATGAATATGCGGAAGGGACACAGCTACTGACTCTGCTCTGACCAATTTTCATCTCTAGACTGATGCAAATTTCAAACATCCCTGTCCATTCAGAGTGTGAAGCACAAAGGCGTGCCATGGCACTGCCTCCAAAATATGGTAGAAAACTTCTCAAAGCCCAGAAGAAAATAGGAACCCTTTCCCCTTTTAAATGTAGGGCCTTCACTGTGCCCAGTTTTGAATCCAAAAGGACACCCCGGGCCCTCCTGCATAAATGTTTGGGGGGAGGGGAGGGTGTGTGGAAGCAAAGGCACTGGGCAGGAGTGGGAACCTCTTTGGTCAGGGTCACAGCCACAGAAAAGTTAGGGCTAAATCCAGCTCCCAGGCCTTAGACTCCCCATCCTCTCACTAGGGGCTGTACTACAAACTCTGGAGAGTACAGCTCCGTCATGTGGTGCAAAGCCGTGTCATCTCAACTACTTACTAGTGTAGAGAAGGCATGAGTCGGCAGGAGCTCCATGACTTTTGCCACTACTTCCAGGCTCTGGCGTAAGTACCGCTGCCACTCAGTCTGTTGCTGTGGGGAGAAAGACATGGTAATCACCTGTTTCCTTCCAAGCCGGAAACTGGAAACTGCTGGCCTATATGTAACAAGCTGGCAGGCCTTAAGTATTGGAGAAATGACTAACCTGTATCTACCAGTGTTTGGCCTCCCTAAACAGCTTAGAATTGAAATATGTTTTTTTAGGAATTTCCTACATTGACAGCAATTTGAGCAGGAGGTAAGATTTGCGAGCTTTCACTGACAAAGGCTGCTAACTATGCTAATACAGGCAGTCCCCAAGTTACGCGGATCCGACTTATGTCGGATCCGCAGTTACGAACGGGGCTTTTCTCGCCCCGGAGGACGGGAGCGGCGGGACGCCCAGATGAGCCGCGGTCCCGCCGTCCGCATTCTCCGGGGCGAGAAAAGCTGCTCCCCGTCTCCTTGGTCTGCTGGTCAGACCAGGGAGACGCGGAGCAAAACCGCGGAGGATGCCCGCAGCGGGACAGCTGCGGTGCGCCTGGGCTGTCCTCTGAGGCTTTGCTCCGCGTCTCCCTGGTCTGCTGGGGGGAGGGGGGGGCACGCAGCTAGTGCCCCCTCCCCCCCAGCAGACCAGGCTTTTCTGCCCACGACGCCTGGGGTAGAGCAGCTGGGGCGCTGCTGGGTTGGTCTCGCAGCGCCGCTCCTCGGCGCTACTGGACCAACCCGGCAGCACCCCAGCTGCTCTGCCCCAGGCGTCCCCAAGTCAGCCGCTGCTGAAACTGACCAGCGGCTGACTACAGTAAGCCCGAGGCAGAGTTGCTCTGCCCCCGGCTTCCTGGAATCAGCCGCTGATCAGTTTCAGCAGCGGCTGAATCTGGACGCCAGTTCCGACTTACATACAGATTCAACTTAAGAACAAACCTACAGTCCCTATCTTGTACGTAACCTGGGGACTGCCTGTAATTGTGCATCCACATCACATCACTTTCTGGCCTTCTAGTCACTGCAGTGTCCTTTATTCTGTTTATACGCGCCTATCCATCAGTATTATTTTGGGAACATTTTCAAAACATTAATTGTCTTGCATTCAGACATGCCCCCTGGATAAAAGGACCGATATCAAATAACGGCTAACTGTCCACGTGTGTCATATGACAACAGTGTTTGAAATTAAAGAACCAATTTCTGCCTTGGTCTAAAAGAGATTTTTCTAAGAATATAAAGAACTAAAGACAATGACTTTAGACAATGGTCACTACAGAAGTAGACACAAGGTCAGTTTCTCTGTACTCTTACCAGCTTGGCTCCCTTCTATAACAAGCCCCCAATTGGTTTTACTCTCACAGCCTCTTTCTCTAACTCAGACATATCACTCTAAAGCAGTGTTTCCCAAATGCAACAAGGAGTCCTGTAGCACCTTACAGACTAACAGATGTATTGGAGCATAAGCTTTCGTGGGCAGAGACCCACTTGGTCAGATGCATGTAGTGGAAATTCCAGAGGCAGGTATAAATATGCAGGCCAGAATCAGGCTAGAGATAACGAGGTTAATTCAATCAGGGAGGATGAGGCCCACTTCTAGCAGCTGATCTGGAGGTGTGAATACCAAGAGAGGAGAAGCTGCTTTTGTAATTAGCTAGCCATTCACAATCTTTGTTTAATCCTGAGCTGATGGTGTCAAACTTGCAGATGAACTGGACTATATCTGTTAGTCTATAAAGTGCTACAGGACTCCTTGTCGCTTTTGCAGATCCAGACTAACATGGCTACCCCTCTTGTTTCCCAAGTGATGTTTCGCGGAACCCCAGGGTTCCACAAAGCAAAAATAAGGGTTCCGCGAGAGAATTCCATTACAACAACATTTTATGATTTTTTTAAAAAATAAAATTTAAGCATTTATTAATTTTACTGAAAATAATTTTAATTTGTGTTGATCTCGTGACCTTGTTTAGCATTTGTTTATTATTATCTTTACTTATTTGTGGTCTACTTTTTCAGCTCCATATATAAAACTGTTATTAGGGGCTCTGCAAAATTCTCACATTTATAGGGTTCTGTGGCCAAACAAAATTGGGAAACGCTGCTCTAAAGCATCGTACGGATTCAGTACAGCTCCCATGACTTCAGAGAAGAAATATTTTGTGCTTCATTTTATCTGCTGCACTATAATGAAAATTCCCTGCCTCTATTGCACACAAAAAACAGAATCAGGCAGGCCCATGACACAAAGTCCAATAGTGAAAACATTTCAGGCTTCTTTCAACCTCAAAACCCACAAAGCACTATGCATCTCGCTTCATGCGTGTGGCAGCTGCCTCTGAACGGTGTACACTTCTGCACTTAAAATCTGCATTCAGAGAGGCTAAGTGGGGAAGTGTATCACTGCTGATCCCTTTACGGCTTTTGATTTGGAATGGCCGGGCTGCTGACAAGTTGCTTGGACACATGCACTATGGTGGCAGCATTGAAATGTAGGGTACAAGAGATATCAGCACGAGGTGAACACTACTAGTGGGAAACAGTGGTCGAGCCAGCGTACTGGAAAAGTGACCAGATCCTGGAAAGGGGTTTCGAAGTGACTCGGTGCAACCCAGCAGTGTCTTACATCATCATCTAGAGTCTCGTCATCCAGCTCCTCCAACTGTGCCTGGTTGTACCGGAACTGTATGCGATTCAAAACCTCTCTCAGCAGTAGAACCAAGGAGTATTCGTACCTGCCATGAGTGGAGAGAAACACGAGATTGAGGAAAGGGAGTTCTAGTGCAATACTCTTGCAAACCCTCGCCTCCTTCTAGGGAGGAGCTGTAGTAGGTCCTGTACAATGAAGCTTTAAAGATTTGCTTGCTGGGGAAACACCAACACAGCCACAACAGTGCTAATTATAAACAGGTTTTCTAAGCTACAGTATACAAGATATGATGGCTCAGAGATACTGCAGCAAAGAACTGATAACCCATCAACTCTGAAAACTAGACAGCTAATTAACTGTAAGAGAGGGAGCAGAAGGCTCCAGAGACTATGGGAAAAGCTTGGGGGAGTGACAAGAAAAGCACCCAGAAGATGGTTAAGGATGACAGGGCTGGCTTTAAATGAAGGGCCTGCATTTGAAAAAAACAGCTCCTGCTGGCTAATTCCCATTTAACCTGTACCTCTGTCCGGGACTGGACTGCAGGAATTAAAAGCCCAAAGAGAGGTTACAACCAATGTAAAATTCTGCTTCTTGCTGCTAAAAAGCTAAGCAACAATGCCAGCCACAGCCATCAAAATCTATAATACTGCTGGGCAACCAATTCAATAACGTTCAAATGCCAATGCCCTTTTTTCTGCCTATTAGTCTTTGTCCAAGGGAGGAAGCAATTTATAAATGGGCGAGTGAGAAAACTAACCCTCACGTCTAACAGCAACGGTTCAGAGCAGGACTGTGAGCCAAGTAGTAACAGTTTAACTGGAAGGTCATTCCCAGAGTACAGTACGTATGTCTTCCAGTGCCACCCTGTGGTTTAGGCTACGATTTGCAAAACCGTACGTGCCTATCTTTAGGGCATCCAAATAAGTGGTGTGATTTTCTGAAACACTTAGTGCCTTATAGCTCCCACTGACTTCAGCTGCGTTGTCCTTGTTTTGCTGTACTGAAGCAGGCCCATTATTGTCCAAGAAGAAAGTCACGATAGTTCTTTCACCTCCACTATAGCCAGTAACAGATATTTACTCTCAAGGTAGCTACAACATAGCATACAAAACTCAAGAGCTCCCCCCACAATCAACCATGAGTAGTGCCAAATTGCAAAATCAATGCAGAACAGCCCTGGGCTGGAACACAGCCCACAGCCACCAACGATGACACAGGACTGTCAAGTTGCTCCGGAGACCCAAAGATTCCTACCATCCTTTTAGAAAACAACTGTCCTGAAGCATGTCCAGTGCTGCCTTTCTGCAGGAAAGAGCAAGCTGGAAAGCTAGGAATGTCTCTTTACTAGTAACAGGAAGAATCAGAGCATGGGGCAATGTAAGGGACAGCCCAAACATCTGTGCCTATGACTGAATAGCCAGATGCTTTCCATGAAGAGTTGTTATACTGCCGGCGGGTACTGAAAAGATGATGTAAGCTTGGATTTAGTAAACGGCATGTTGTGCTACCGGATAAAATGTACAATTCATAAACCACAGGGAACAGGAAGTTTCATCGGCAGTGCCTGTGGTGTAACCACACCTACATCATCAAATTAAGACATATAAACACTTCTACAACTCTCTGCGTGTTCAATAGAGCCATAGAAGCTTTAGCTAACAGGCATCTTTGCAGAAAACACAATAGAAAGTTTACGCAGCTCACCACATTTCTGATTGTCAAAGAAAGATATTCTATTTCAAAAAAAGTAAATTAATATTGCTCTGATTTGTATCTATCACAAAAAATGTCCTTTTCATATGTGTTCATTTTTTTGATTGTGTCACTTTGGTATATATGATTGTGACAATTTTCTTCCACATATTGATCTGAGAAGCTCTCTCTCTCTCTCTTCCCCCCTCCCCCCAGAGGGAGAAGAGGAGTGACTAGGGAGAACTAGCATAACTGTGCAGCTTGGTGAACACTTTATTGAGACCGACATGTTCTCACATTTGAACTCCCCTGAAAAATCCAATAAAGTGACTTCCCGCATGGAACAGACAAGGGCTGGCCAGGTTAGCTAGTTCCTGGATGAATGATGTTAGAATGCCTTTTTTGGCAAGACACCATGGTCACTGGGAAAGGAAGGCTCTTCTTGTAGTTAGCATAGACCTTGCTAAATGGTAGAGGGTTTTAAATCTGCCCACTTTAAATACAGAACTTGTATTTAGAGCTTGTTCCATGCTAAACAGTTTTAACACACCAGAGCTGCCAAGATGGTGGCAACAAAGGGATCTACAAAATAGGGACTGAACTGTGAAGCAGCTAAAGAGGAGAAACCGCTAACTTTGCTTACCTAGTGCATTATGTTATACGTTCAATACCCTTATCCTGATGGCAATTTTCACCAAGTAACTTTGTTTCTAAAATGCTGGTATAAAACTTGCTGATTCATTAATGATAACTATCATTCATTAGCTATATTTTTGGTCTAAAGTGTAGGTTACATCTAGGTTTATGACTTTAAGATCCTTTTCTTGACTTTGTTAGAAAGTATTATAATCAGATATTCTAATCAATAAAATTCACACACCTCCACATCAGCTGCAAGAAGTGGGCCTCACCCTCCTTAACTGAATTAACCTCGTTATCTCTAGCCTTATTCTGGCCTGCATATTTATACCTGCCTCTGGAAATTTCCACTACATGCATCTGACAAAGTGAGTCTTTGCCCACGAAAGCTTATGCTCCAATACGTCTGTTAGTCTATAAGGTGCCACAGGACTCCTTGTCGCTTTTAATAAAATTTTGTTTTTCCTGGTTTCCATGGTCATACATTGCATGTATTTTTAACCATGCTTTAACCTGAACTGGGAACAGTCTTCAAAACCTGGTTTTTAATAGCCACTTTACTATAGGTTCACTTAGAAATATATTAAGTCAAGGATCTTTGTAAAGAAATCATTTGGACATCAAACATGTGTCAACTGTGTGTCGGAAAATGATAATGAGCGATGTTCACTGACCCCTACTACTTCAGCAGCAGCACAAGACAATGGAACAGCCAGGCATTTAAAGTTGTAAGTAACTGAGAAACAAAACAGCAGATGAAATTCAATGTTGATAAATGCAAAGTAAACATAATTCCAGCTACATATATAAAATGATGGGTCTAAATTAGCTGTTACCACTCATGAAAGATCATGGAGTCATTGTGAATAGTTCTCGGAAAACATCCACTTAATGTGTAGCAGCAATCCAAAAAGCTAACAATGTTGGAACACATTAGGAAAGGGATAGAGAATAAGACAGAAAATATCATAGTGCCTCTATATAAATCCATGGTACGTCCATATTTGGAATATTGTGCGTACCCCCATCTCAAAAAAGATTTGGAAAAGATTCAGAAAAGGGCAACAAAAATGATCAGGGGTATAGTATAGCTTCCATATGAGGAGAAATTAGTAAGCCAGACTTTTCAGCTTCGAAAAGAGATGACTAAGCGGGGTAACAGTAGAGGTCTATAAAATCATGACTGGTTTGGAGAAAGTAAGGAAGTGCTATTTACTCCTAACACAAGAACTAGGGGTCACCAAATGAAATTAATAGACAGCAAGATTCAAACACATACAAAAGGAAATATTTCTTCACTCAACGCATACCCAACCTATGGAACTCCATGCCAGAGGATGTTATGAAAACGAACAGAATTCAAGAAAGAGCTAGATAAGTTCATGGAGGTTAGGTCCCTCAATGGCTGTTAGCCAGGGTGGGTAGGGATGCAAAACCATGCTCTGAAATGTCCCTGCCCTCTGTTTGTCAGATGCTGGGAATGGGAATCAGGGGATAGATCACATGATTGGCCACTGTCAGAAGCCACGGTGACTCAGGATGGCTGTTCAATCAAGTGGACATGGTTCTCTTTTAATGGTCTCCATAGCTGTAGCAGCCAAGCTTATCCTCACCCCATGAGGCAGGTGGTGGTGTTATCCCCATTTTACTGAAAGGGAAACTAAGGCATAGAAAGACAAAGTGACTCGCCCAGGGTCACAGAGCGAGTCTGTGGTATACGAGGAACCTGGCCCCAGAGCTCTCAAGTCCAAGGCTAGAAACTTAACCACCTGATCATCTGTTACTGTTAGATGCTTCACACATGCAGTAACACATCATCCCCAGATCAACACATGCAAGCCACACAACCCAGTGTAACAGTTCTTGCCTCTTTAGCATCAGGTATTAAACTGAACAAGCACATGGAACCTACCATCTTGAACTACATTTTGTTATAATGGCTCCGCAGGTAAAACGATTAGGAAATGCAAGACAGACCCACCGCAATGAATACCGTTGCTTACCTGTTGAGAACTGCTTCTTTGTCTGCTAGACGACTAAAGCAAGAAAAGTAACCTTCATGGGTAGGCTGAAATACATAAAACCCCATGTTAAACATCATGAGAACAGCACACTGCAGGCCATGTGTAGCCAAAATTTGAGCTGGGTGTACTTTAAAGAAATGGGAGGACATATCCATGCAGATTTGCTTTAGTGAGGATTTTTCAGTGTCTCTGGGAAAACCCTACTTGCCTGAACTGTCAAAAGGGGAGTGAGATCTGAGTTTAGGACCTACACCAGGTTCTAGTCTCACTTCTGACTAGGGTTGTTAAATATCGGTTACTGAATAGTCAATAATCTCATGAACTCCTTTCTATCAGTTACTCGACTAGTCTATAATCCCTGGGGGGAGACCAGCAGCCAGTGCAGTCCAGCCCCACCCCCGAGGAGCCCCCTGCGACCCCATGCTGCTGCCTTTGATACAGAAGCAGCAGTACAGGGTGGCATCAGCCCCTGTCCAGGGGAGGGGTCTGAGCTCCTGGACCCAGCAGGAGCCAGAACTGAGTCAGGCTGCCTGCCCACCTGGCTCCTAATACACTTTTAATGCAGAGATGCAGCAGGGATAGATCCCAGACCCAGCATAAGGCAGGACTGATCAGGGCAGCTGGCCAGAATGCTAAAAAATTTACTGGCAATGGCACAGGAGGGAGGGGGGGAGGAGGAGAGAGAGAGAATGTGTGTAGTCTATAGCATGAACTGATAAGCTTTTGCTTATCGGTTAATTGACTACAGTATTATATCCCTACTTCTGACCGAACTAGGCAAGTATCCTTCTTCCTGTCTCAGTTCCCCACCCAGTCACAACATATGAATAATTATAAGTTTAAATGAATTCTCTGAAAGCTGTTAATCTTGCTGCAGCATAAGGGACGCTTTAGGTCAGCGTTTCTCAACCTTTTTTTATAAAGTACCTCCTTTAAAATAAATAAATAAAGAGTAAGCACCCCCAGTACCTACAGTTTTCAGACACACAATTTATTTTTCTACCATTGCAAGACATTTGTTTAAACAACTTCATCGTAGCTGGGCGGGCAATGAAATTTTTGGTTGTAAAAAGTACAAAAATAATACAATGCTGTAAAATCTAAATAAAAATTCAGTTCTCCAAATTACAGTTGTGCTGATGTACCCCCCCAGACTTCTCTCAAATACCCCCAAGGGTACTTGTACCACTGGTTGAGAAACACTGCCTTAGGTCACAGTTTCTGGAAAAAAAAGTCCACCCCTCCTCTCTGCTCCAATAAGGCCTCAGAGACGCTGTAAAAGCAACAGTTTCTAAAGTGACAGAAAACGTCACCCCTCCCCAGTCTAGAGACTTTTCAGAAAAGCTTCTCCAAACCTAATTAAAACAAGATCATAAAAGCTGGCCAAGTCATTCATTCAAGATAACTACATCTGATAGTTTTCATCTATTTGGGGGCCAGGAGCAAGGTTTCCTGCGTGGCATGCTATTGCAAAGTGCACAAAGGTTTCCAGAAATCCCACGATGTTAAACCAGTAGAAATCTGCATGGTAAGAGGGTCAGTTGCTAAAAAGCATGAAAATGAAGTTTTGCCTTTGAGCTATCAGATGTACTGGGACATAAGCTCTCTTTTACTCATCTCACACATGATTGGAACATACGGAGAAGGCTGGCAGATAAAAGAAGAGGGTCAGTGCTGTACCTGATGAAAGGTGTATTTGAACAAGAGAGCCAAAAACTCAACCAATGGGAACTGAGCATATGATTCAATCCTTCTTAGATGGACGCTCACAAAGAGACGCAGAAAGTCTGTAAACTTCTCAATGTAGCTAGAAGAAAAAGGAGAGAAAACTTATAAAACACAAAGAAAGCCATGGGGGGACAATTTAATTGAAATAGTGAAAAATTCACTCAAAACCCTTTCATTAAAGAAAAACTACATTTAATAGCCAATAGTACAATTAAAATATAAAGCCCTGCAACAATTACCTACAGGACGGGCAACCCTTCATTCCATTAACACCTGAAACACAGCAGAAAAGACAGTCTAGTCAAAAGCAACTTTAGTGTTCAGATAAAACAATACGAATTCATTAAGGCCTTCAGATAAGCAATCCCCTTAGTGCTACAAGTATTTAGCAGCAAGACCCATCCTACCCTATAGATATGGATGGGGCTGGTCAACAGAACGTAGCACTCCGGAGATACTGGTGAATGGGAAACACAGACACTGGGAATTGATTTTCTCTTATTAAACGCGTAACAATGGCAACCCCTGTGACATGGAGATACTAGGTTGTCTTCCCCAAGCCTCCAGTGTAATTCCAGCATCCAATCCAACAGCTCATGAGTGGACCAGACCATCTTTTCAGAAAAGAAGCCATCTTAATTTAAAGACTCCTCATCAGTTTTCCCCCCCAGATCTTAGAATTATTCAATCCCATGATCAAGACTATGTCTTTCTGATGCTACAGTATATGAAGTGAAGGGCCCACAAAGGAACCGGTCATCAAAATTTAGACACACTTCTATGGCAATGTAAGTACTTAAAGCTTCAAGAAGCACTGCTAAAATAACTGCTGAAGGTCACTGCAGTGTGAGCTGCTAATGTGGAGTTGAGAACATGCACAGTGCAATGCAGAGCTTTACTGGAGTTTAGGATAGCCTATATTATGTATTAGCTGCAAGAAAACAACTACCTGTTTGGCATTGCTGCATAGCATCCATTGTGGAACACTAATACCAAGAACCCCACTGATGCAGTTACAGAACTGCACTGCAGAAAAACCCCTCTCTCCCACCTAAAGTGACATTTACAGTTCTAAAAGATCAAGAAATATCACACGGCTGAAGACACCAAAATAATTTTAGGGGCAAAATTGTATCACTCAGGAACGACAGTCCCTCATTATTACTGCTGCACTGAGGGGAACACAGGATTTGTCTGGCACACCTCAGTGAGAGAAACTGTTAACTCTGAGCTGAACAAAGCTAGCTCCAAACTGGAGAGCCACTGCTGAACAAGAACAACAAGTGGAATCGTTCCCAGACTGGTCACTATGAACCTGTGGACCCCACAATTGCTGGAAGTGAGACAATATTTACACAGCGTGTACCTCTCTGGTCCGACATCCATGGGACCTCGCCCATCTCACACCAGGGGCGCTCTGGCAGAAGCAGAGGGGCTGCCATTGACCAAGCAAAGAGAGAAGTGGCGCTCAGGGTAAGAGGCAGGGTGGCTGTGAAGCCCTGCAGCCAGGGGGCAGGAGCAAAGCCCCATGGATCTGCACTGACGTCCATGGACACCAGTCCCCACTGTCAGCCACGGGGCTGGGCTTCTGGCACCCAGCCATGAGGTTCCACGGCCGCCATGTCTATTCCCAATCCCCACTCGGGCAATGCTGGCTCCTCTGTTGCTGCCGGCTGTGAGTCTGCACTCCTGGTGCCCGGCTGCAGGGCTCCGCGGCTGCCCTGCCTCTTCCCCTAGAACACCCCTCCGAACACAGCACAGCTTTGGAAGCTCTGGGAGAGAAGGGCAGGAGTTGCTGAGCTCAGGGTCTGGCTTTTCCCCCCACGACTGCTCCAGTCTGGGAGCACCCCTGGGGACACTAGATCATATATCCTGTCGGACTACAGAAGTCAGAACTAGAGAGGTTGAACCTGTAGCTCTTTCGGCACCTTAGCAAGATGGACTCCCACTTGGTATGTACTGCTCATTGGCCAAATACTTCCAGACTAGAGTGATCTATTGGGAAACAGTTATCCAAGCTCAGGGCTTTTTTTAAGCCAAGATCTGCTGTACTTTTTATATAGATGTAGGCTTCTAGGAGTCACTAAGCCTGTCGCTAGCTTTGGAATTACCTGTTACACTTAGGGTTTCATTCAAGGTGAAATTAAACAGCACATAAGCAGGGAATTGCAAACTATGGTGAAGGTATACATTTTCTGAACTGGCTTACAAATTCAAGATCTAGAAGGCTCAGAACTGTGCTAACTCCATGACAAAGTAACTAGTAACTAACCATCCCCCCCATGTCACACTCCTGTCTGAGGGAAGAGTAAACGCAAGGCAACAGAAGTAGAGGATACAGTATTGCTATATAATTTCATACTCTTTTGCAACAATGCCAGCTTTGTCCAGCAGCACGCCAGGTTAAAAGTGGCAAGTGGAAAGGTAACTTGACTTGAGTCACTTCCAAGTTTTCAAGTCTTGGAATTCAAAGCGTAGCTAACGTGAACACAAAGAAAGGGAAAACAATTGACAAACTGCAGATTCTTTAGTTCAGGAGAGGGAGGGATAGGAGGACAACCAGTCCAGAGAATGTTTCACTCATGGAAAAGCTGAAGAGAAACCAAAATATCTAGGCTACCTCCCAGATTCAAATCATATTAAACATTTTTTAAAAAAGGCAAATTCACTTATGGACCTCAAGATCTCTGAACATGAGCTACATCAAAAGAACACAAAATGAGTGCAACATATAAACATCACACTGAGCTCTAGCAGAACTTCCACTGCCTGTGGAGAAAGACATTAGCCTGGTTTTGCTAAATCAAGGCCTATACCTGGGCTGAAGTTATAAAGCACCTCTACTGAGGACGCTCATTAACCTTTTGACCGAAAAGCGGGTGCCATGTCTGGGAAGAAGATCAATGATTTAGCAGACTGGTAGTGCAGTGCCATGCTCATCTACTTCTGTCAACATGCATCCACAGCAACGTGGGACAATTGGGAATCTGGATACATCTGCATAATTACAACATCAGAAAAGATATCTTGCCAACATTAGCAGGAGACGACGGCCCAGGTCCCAAAGCTAAAGACCTACAGCAGTGCTGTGACAGAAACGAACATCAGTAGCTGTCTGCTATGCCACAATAATGACTATTGCAACACATGAGAAGTTCAATCACAACAAAAGTTTCCCTCCCGACAACACAAGTGGAAGCATTTCTTCATGAGAAATCTTCTAATGCTGACTGTTTTTAAACAAATAAATTTCTCAACTCCCAGCAGAAGGTGTGAAACTGACCAGGTTTCATTCCCTTCAAAGCCATGGAGCGGCTGGTGCATATCGCCCACTCCTTTGGAACATGACTTGAAAAACACACAGAGGGCAGATACCAACCAGAAAGGGAATACTGCAATTCCTTTACCTCACTGTGCCGCTTCCGTTGCTCTGCTGCAACTGAATGAAGGGCAGACTCAGCTCTTGTGCCACCTCACACCTGCAGTCAAACAGTAACGAATGGGGGAGTGGGAGGAAAAGGACAGGAAAGAATACAAACCTACACTACCAGTCACTTTGCACAATTAACCCCCCTGCCACCAACTCACCTGGACACACCTACCTGCCTGCCCTCCTTCAGCAGCACAGAGCTCTGTAAAAAAGGTGATTAAAACACACCATGCATGACAGCAAGTCAGAAGAGACAGCTTTTTAGGAAGCAAAAGCTCCTACCTACATTACTTAGCTGGCTGATTTGTTTTACCTTTCATCCAGTTCCTCTAGCCGGCTCTTCACCGTGTGGGCGTTGTTCTCCTTCGTAATCTTCTGCAGGAGGTAGAACGTCTGCTGGAACATCCGCAGCAAATACTCCTCAAACTCCATAGGCACGCAGTTCTTTGACATAAGTTCATTGATGCAAGACATAGCCAGGATCCCTAGCCTGCCACGCTCTTGACCCGAGACAGAGTTCTGGCTGCTGCCATTGACAGAGGACATCTTCCTAGCTCGGGTGTCGCAGCCAAAGCGGGCAAAGTGGAATATGGTGGTGAGGAGCGAAGGGGTGATGCTGGCGGAGAGAGGGATCCAGCTGAAGAGGTGGGCCAGGCACTCCAATGCAAGAGAACAAATATATTCACTCTCTGTATCAAGGATAGGGATTGGCTGATTCAATAATTTGGCCGCACTGGGACTCTGTAACAAGCTTCTTAACAGGTCTCCACCTAGGAAATAAAGCACATGCACTCCTAAATCTCAGTGTACAACTGGATGTGTAGAGTTAAATGAAAAGCAATTTTTTTTGCGTGTAATTGCAGCTCTTTATGCAGCTAACAAGTAACATGTCTAACAAGTGTTCAATGCAACATTGCATTAACAGCTACATGATTCTACAACACATACCGGCCAACCCCTTCTCACGCCATTGTGTTCTAAAATTTCAGACTGACCGATGTTTCAGTCTAAGACACACTACAGCAGGTGGCACTGAAGTTGAGAGACCTAAAACAAGCTGGAATTGGCCAGTTTCTCCTGTCTTTAACATCTACATTTACACATCAGAAGCTACTTATGGGACACATTTAATTAGCCTCATTAACACGGGTCCTACAACTGACAGGTACTTCTGCTGATGGATGGATGGATGGGCGTGTTCGGTTATTTCTACTCCAATTCATATGATGAAGTGGGTTTTAAACACAAAAGCTCATGATTCTGAGCTTTTGATTAGTCTCTGAAGTGCCACAAGGACTACTTGTTTTTAATATACTAATGTGCAGTCTCCAAAGCTGCCGTACTGTAAATTTTAGTTCTTTCAGTTGGTTACTTTGGAATTACTCAATCTCAGTCAACAAAGTGCTCTAGTTAGAGCACAGTGAAGTGGTCTGTAGCAGTCCAGACGACTAGTTGCTCTTAATGGCAAGCCAGAAGTGGAATCTGCTCCAAAACACATCTGTAGTTTTACTAGAGGAAGAAGAACTGTATTAATCCACAGGATGCTCCAGAAGCTTTTACTGCAATTGAGTGTCAACACTAGCGTGAAGAAATAAAAGCCACTGTTTAGGTAGAGGAATTTCCTCTTTGCTTCATGAGACTTGACATTTTAGATTGTCCTCAACATCTTCAAGCAGCACAGGTTTGTGAAATCTTCCTGTGGAGGGCAGAGCCAGCTTGGTGAGGTTTTTAATTTAACAGCTGTTTCAATGAAGCTCTACTATATACAGCTAGATGTGAAATTGCATCACAATATTGTTTCTCAGAAGAAGGGAGGAAGAAAGGGCTACAACAGATGTAGTTGCTGCAGACAGAAGCCTAGCCCAACTCAGACCATTTGATACACGCAACTGTAAGAAAACTGATAGGCCTCAGAATGGTAGGGTGGGATTTGCTACTGTTTTATCCCCTGAACTTATAAGCTCTTTCCTCCAAATTGCAGAAGTGTAATATGCATGATTTGATCTTACGTCATTTAAGCAATGTGCACGCTCCATTTTCAAAGCTAGTGAAGCAAGACAAGCATGAGTCGGCTGTGAAGCAGATGCACAGCCAAGCTCAAAGGCAGCTCCTTGTCCTAATGGTAATGTGCAGGAGGCGGTGTGTACAGTCGGAAGGGGAAGTGGGGAGAGAGTATTGGTTTAATTTACTGATATGGAGCTGAAAGCCACAGCTACATTATAAACTACAGGTCACACCAGATCTTCTGGCCTTGGAACTTCTAAATCAGCTAAGATTGCAGTCACTCTTGACTTCCCGTGCACTTACAGCTGCAGTTCATAGATGCAAACCAACCCTTTGTTGTCTCTCAGTGTGGGAACTGGCTAAGTTTCAACAGCCTTTCCTCCTCTGCAGCACTGCAACAGGAAAGGAGCTGACCACGTACATGCCACATGTGCTGTCTCAAATGGAGGTAGCCCATTTTCAGTGGAGAATCCTCAGCCCTGGAGATTGCATCCTTCGGTGGTCCCACATGTGCCAGACACAAGGGAACACACAAAAGGGCCTTAACCTAAGTTCCCCATACGCTATATGGCTACGCAGAAGCCTACTTAGCACACACGCCCGCTCGGGGACCTGCTGTGGTCCGTCCCCCGGCCCCAATCTAGCCTGGTCTCTAACCTGCCATGGCCCAAACCCAGGTCTGGCCTGGACTTTCTGTAGCCATAGTGCCCCTCCCACAACCGCAGCTCTGCTGCAAGCCAGAGCCTCTCCCTCAGCCAAACCCACCCCCAGCCTGGACCTGCCATGGCCAGAAAAGGGGCACCTATCCTGCATCCAAACTCCCTCATGCCCCAGACCCCCAATCCTCTGCCCCAGGCCTGAGCCTCCTCCCATACTCTGAACCCCTCAGCCCCACCTCCCCCACATGAATTTTGTTATGTGCCCTGATATAAAGGTGATGTCCGTACTAGGGCACATACGATTCAGTCTGCTCGCAGGGTGGGAAAATGAGGGGGAATATTGGCCTCGCCCCCACAGGGCTTTCTTCTTAAGATGGAGCCATGTCCCACCACTCCCTTTAGAGATCTGAACAACGCATCAGATGGGAACGGCACTGACGGGAGTTGGGTGGGGTAATGGTGAAGCCCCTTCCCGATTGGTAGGGCAAAGGGATGGCTGGGCTGAACCTGAGTGAGTGGCACTCTCACTGAGCACATGGGCTTCCAACACTAGTCAAATCTGGCCCATCATGGTTGCTTCCCCCTCTCCCCAATTTTGCAGGTTTCTGGTGCCTTTGCCCACCTAAATCTGGTGGCTTTCAAACCACAGCACAAGGCATATCTTTCCAGTCATGCATCTGTGACTATGGATCACCATTCCGGAAGGAGGTATGATGACAGGGAGGGATCTGTGCTACGTAGCGGTTTTGATTTATGTTAGCAACCAAAATCCACGGTCAATGTATAAATATTAAGTACTACATTTTAGTGAGTCCATACCACTTTCTCCTGAAGTTGGGGATGGTGGTGGAGTGGCAGCAGTAACACTATGTTTGTCCCAGATGCTCTCTAAAATACCTGCCAAGAAAGAGGAAGAGTACTGTGAGCCCAGCTAGGTTCAGAGATATGTCATACAAGGCCGGCATCTTTACTCCAAACTCAGTTTAGGGTAGCTACCTCAAAGTATGTGCAACTGACCTGAGAAGTCTATCAGAGCTAGATACTTGCAGATGTATAGGCTAGATCTTTATTCCTTTTTTACTGCAGTGACAGCACACAAGACAAATAAAGTATCCTCCCCATGTGATTAGGGAGACTAGAACAGGTACGGCACTTTATAAATGAAGCATTAAAGAAAACAGGAAGTTCTCATGCATGCTAGTATATCTGCTTGGTCCAAGTCCATCTTTATAAACAAAGCTGCCCAAGCAGAGCTATTACAGCTACTGTTCTGCATACTCTAGTTTTAAGCATCAGATTTCATTATAAACGATTCAAGAAGCTATTTACACAGCAGAGAACTCAGCCAGCAGGAAGCAATCACTACATAACTAGCAGGGTTCTTGTTTCACTGGCTGCAAGTCTGCCAGCATTTGACATTCACACACTTTGCAGAAAGGGGCTGGGCAGGTGTTCATTCCAACCCTACAAGTGTAGTTTCACTTACCTGTGAGAAGCCCAAGTACCGTTTGTACCTGATCCAGGAGCAGTTTACGTAACTCTTCTTTCCGTGCCACACTAAGGTCCTCTCTGGGACAGGCCAGCTCTTCTGATGTTGTCTTCAGCATGATCAGCCCAAGAGGAGTGGTCACAGGGGACTGTATCAACTGGAAGAACAAATGAAATGTGAATAATGTCACTGACATTTTGTTCATTGATTGATACTGAA